GATTCCGTAATCCTCTTTAGCTCATGATCTGTGTTCTAACTTCTCAAGCTAATCTTAATCTCCAGAGAGACCACTGTGGTTCATGGTCAATATCTCACTTCTCATATTTACTCCTCACCTGATCACGTCCGACTCCTTTCTCACACTTCACAGCAAACGCGCTGACAGGAGACACAGAGAGCTCTGCGAGGCACGTCCAGGGGATGGTTTTCACCTTCATCCTGTCGTGTATCCTTGCTCACTGGCCACACTATTCCCAGACATTCTCTTCTTGTTTTGACTGCCATGAAATCACACTCCCATCCAAAAATGATTTTGATTTTATTTATAACGTCTTCATGAGTTTAATTTTCATCCTCCCACCTCTTAAGTATGGGCGCCACACAGAGATGTTGTCATTTGCTCTGTGCTGCGTGTGCTTCTAAGTTCACGCCTGCACACATTGCATGCTATCTACAACATACGGACTTTTAAAATTCTGTTGTATCTCCCGTCCAGAATTTGGTTTTGAATGTGACCAGTATAGTCATTCACCTTTCAGATGACTCTGAATGTCCGCAAACACCTCACATCAAATGTTTTAAGTTTATTTTTTAGCTGCTGTCTTGGGAGAGAACAGGGAGTGCGAGGTGAGTGCAGGTTCGCACGCTGCAGTCCCTCCCCTTGCCTTTCCAGCCAGCCCTGGGAACACAAGCCAATGCCTGGCGTGTACTGGTCACCTGAGGGCTGAGCTCTGAGCGCTGAGGTCCTGCCTGGCCTTAGCATAAGGCCTCAGCTCTGCGCTTAAACGTGGTGTTTTTTCTACATACACCTTCACGTGTGTCTAAAATGTCTATGTGAGTAGTATCTTTATGCACGTAATCTAGAAATATTTGCAGTATCGACTCCTTTTTAAGACCCCCCTCATTCAATTGATTCAAGTACATCCCATTTTACCTCTCACACGTTTTTCAAATTCCTCTCCCCTCTCTGTATCTAATACCACTGGCATGTTTGTCCCTGGTCTATCTCACTGCATTAATACAATAGCTTTCTGTCTAAGCTTGCTGTGTGCCCTCTCACCTCTTAAATCCACGCCCATGTTAGCCCCTCCAGGCTGTCCTCAATGTGCCACTGAAATACCACTCGCTCCACTCAGCGCCCCACAATCTCTGCCCAGAAGAGTGTTGTCACACGCTGTTAAAGCAGCCGTGTATTATTTTTTATTGCAAGATGGCACATGTGCCTTTCGAGAGACAGAAAGCAAACACCCCACTGAGGGGCTGTGGTCTCGCTGCCGTCCTTTTCTCCCCACCCCTGCTTCCTGTCAGGATTTTGGACGTGTATGCATGCGTGCCCCGCATATGTTCCACGCTGTAGGGACTAGGGTTAGTCATGTGAGATCCAGTTACCGTAACCTCTGCAAAATGGGGCCAATCCCATAGCTGTGCAATTTTAAAGCCAAGTGTGACAAAGCGTTAAATATACAACATATTTCTAATCGTTTAAATCTATAACTGTAACTTTGGGTTATAGATAAAGGGACTTCCTGACAAATACGATAGAAGGCAAACGCATCCACTATTAGCACAGTGCTCTTCTTCACACAGAGCTTCTGTATGCCTTTTGCTTTTCTTACCCTGACGTGAACTCTGCTGTGGGAGGGACAGGTATACTCGCACTTCAGCTTTGGATGATGATACTAAGCTCCAGAGATGAAATGATTTACTCAACTGGAGAACTTTAGACTATTTTAATAAGAACGTGATTTAGGTCTTACATGGCTCATTGAGGTGAGGAAAGTAGAACTAAAGCAAAAATCTAATAAATGATGAGGAAAATCACTATTATTTTTAAAAATTATTTATTTACTTTTATTCATTCATTCATTTTATTTTGATTTGACCAGAGAGAGACACAGAGAGAAAGAGAAGGAAAGTGAGAAAGCAAGCCACCAGGTCCAGGACTCGAACCGTGGTTAGCCATGTGGGAGTGTCCAGCGTCTTAACCACCACGCCACCTGCTGGTCCTGAGGAAAATGATTATTAATGAGTAAAGTAATAACAGTAGCCATAAAGTGATAAGAAAGCACTAATGAGTTGGTGAGGATCAGGAGAATAGTCACATAAAGAAGTGTGGCAGGGCTAGCAGGTGGCATGGTGGTCACGGTACTGGACTCCTACAGGCTCAACCTCGGTCTGACTCCGGTAACTGGCAGCTTGAAAAATCATGCCAGGTGTGTGTGCACATGTGTACCCCAAATCCCAAGAGGAGAATGGAGGGAAAGGATTGCAGCATGGCCATCCCCACAGGGGGTGATTTCTCACTGTCCCTCTCACTGCCTCTGTCCAGGAAGTGCACACAGCCTATGGCAAACACCTTAAAAGAAGAAAGAGAGATGTGTGGGCCCCTCGGGCAGTGCTCGGGTACGGTGCATTGGGAGCTGGATCCCAATGGCTCACCGTGATTAGGGTCCAATTCCCGGCAACTTGTGGGACACAGCAGGGTCATGTGTGTGCATGTCTGAGGTCCCGGCATGATGGAGAAATGGGAGAAGGGGAACTGGAGTGTTACCACGCCCTGCTGGGAGAGTGCTTTTTCTCTCTCTGGTGAGCAGGTATGCCCTCTGGCAATTATACACTTCTGGTTGAAAAGATTATTCGGTGGCCATAATTCATAGTTAACATAGCAACTGTAGAAAAGTTTCACAAGGCATATATGCTTCTTTAAATCTTTTAATTATTTTATGTTGAACTATATAATATACAGTTATTAAACATTTGTATATTCATATGTATTTGAAACAGTAATGTCATCTTAAAAGTTAAAGAAAGTGATATTTGCACTTCTTAAATAATTATTTATGTAATTATATTTATCATTATTATTATTTTTCAATTTGCTATAGGGCATATGTGCTAACCAGAGAGAGAGGCAAAGTGAGAAAGCCACCAGGTCTGGGACTCGAACTGTGATCAACCATGTGGGAGTCCAGCGTTTTAACCACCACACCCCCTGCTGGCCTCAGAGGGTTGATCTTTTATGTATCCACATCCCAAGAGGTATAACTTCATGAGGTTGAGGATCACGTCCTGCCTCTAGTGTGGCACCAGACATAATAAATGGTAAATGATCTTTAATCCAGATTTCTCACTTTCTGTCTCTCTGTCTCTCTGGTGAGTGCACATGCCCTATAGCAAAAATCTCTCCAAAAACAAAGTTGTTTCAAAGTCATCTCTTTTAGGATGAATACACATATCATATGCATACTGTTAACTGTTAAGTCATTAGGAAAGCCATGGCATTGTTTTTTCTGTGTTTTTTTTTTTTTTAATACAAAAATGTGTCACGGCTTTGCTGAGTACTCAGGGTCTCTCATACACTCACGGCTTTGCTGAGTACTCAGGGTCTCTCATTCTCTCTCGGCTTTGCTGAGTACTCAGGGTCTCTCATACACTCACGGCTTTGCTGAGTACTCAGGGTCTCTCATACACTCACGGCTTTGCTGAGTACTCAGGGTCTCTCATACACTCACGGCTTTGCTGAATACTCAGGGTCTCTCATACACTCATGGATTTCCTCCAGCTTAGCATCCCACCTCATTCAGGATTCCAGACAGCATGCTGACAGATCTACACTGCCATCATCGCCTGTCCCCAGGGTATCACTGTCACATGGACCATTCTCAATGCCACCAGCGCCCTCTCTGCCATGTGTCAGTTACTGTGCAGCTCACCACACCTCTGTGAGTGCAGAGTCATGTTATTATCCAGGTTCCTTAGGTGAGTGTCTAGTCCTTTGGAGGATATTATACTTTACTAAGTGGTGACATCAAAATTTTAACCCGTGTTTTTGTTGACTGCCCGAAACACCTTCATAAACATCTGTTCACAACTGAAATTAAGTTTATTAAGCCTGGGGCCAGCAGGAAGCTGGTAGTTAAGGTGCTAGACTCCCACGTGGTCAACAGCTGTTTGAGTTCTGAACCTGGTAGCTTAAAAATCACACTGATCATGTGTGTGCCCAACATCCTGAGAAAATGAAATGGAGAAGGTATTGCCCCGTGGCCATCCCTTCTGGGGGTGATTTCTCACTTGCACTATCTCTGTGTCTGTCTGTCTGTCTGTATCTCTCTCTCTCTGGTGAGCACACGTACCCTATGGTAAAACCCTTGAACAAAAAAGTGCATTAGGCCAATTCGTCTGCCTGTATAGCTATCTACATATATATATGTGTATGTGTGTATAGATAGATAGATAGATAGATAGATAGATAGATAGATATAGATATCTCCTGTCAGAAGTCTTCACTTTTCTACACTGATAACCCACTTTCTTCAGGTTTACAAACAGAAGTTATATTTACATTGCTGACAATAAGTATGTATAGGGTGATGATACCGGTAACTCCGAGGGCATTGTCTGACATAGTAACGTCAGCAGCATTCCATGTCTTTTTGCATCCCAGAAAGCTGTGTGGCAAGTACAAGGGGAATTAGCATATCTCTGACTCACTCCAGCCACTTTAGCAGTGTCTCACTTTACTGGTGACATATAAAGCCATCACATGTTACCCAAATATATTTTACTATTATTTCGAAGTTCGTTTGACAATATTTAAACTATCATACACACATTGCCTAATATTTTTTGGTAATCATGTTTATCAAAAATAATCAATTTGCTCACCTGGAGAACACATAAGTAAAAGGTTTGCAGACATGAGTTTTGTAGTCAAGTTGTCGGCACGAGAAGAAAAAAATATGGGACCATGTCAAGGATAACCTCTTAATAGTAAAGCATTCTTTTGTAAATACATATGTCAACAACGATAGGATTCTGCTCATTTCCATTTATAAGTATTCTGTGAGAGATAATTAGATCAGTAGAACGAAGCCCAGCAATCAAGAGATACCGTAAAGCGATTTAGAGTCCTTCTGAATCTTTAAAGAAAATCCAATAAGCACTTGGAAAACAAAATCAATGAAGTGTTTTAAATGTTTCTCTTTTGATTTGCTACAGGGACCGAGTTTTCTCTCCGAGGCACTTTTTCCTACACATGCAACAAAAATTGAAGAATTGGATCCTTTTTTCAACCTTCATGAAACCATTACCAAGGTAGGAGAGTAATGCATTAATGAACAGGATGGGGAAATTCTGTCCTTTTTGTGGTTGGTAGATGGAGGAAGAAAAACAATAAGGAAAAATCTATATATTTTTATTTGTAGACTATGCTAAGAAAGATTTTAGTATATCCTATCTATTTTATTAGGACGTAAAGATGATAAGCAAGACTTTCAAAGTCAAACAGACCTATAGCTGATGATTTATATTAAAAATCAATTCTAAATAAAATAATAAATAATTAAGTAGGGTTTTTTCCCCTTAATTTGAAAGTCAATTTGTGTTATATTTTCAGATAAGCTTATTTACTTTAGGTTAAGGGTGAAAGAAATAGGTCTTTGCATTTATTTGTCTTCAGAGTTATGCTTCACTAGTTAAGGTACTTGTTTGCTCATAATATTTTTAGTTCCATGAAAGAGAGATCTCCTTTTTTAAACAAAAAGACTAGACTGCCTCTATACTAAGAATAGTTTTAACTGTATGGTGATCATACTCATATTTATACCGTATTTTCCTAGATGTAGTTTATTATAAGAAGAAAATTAAATTTAAATTTTATCATAGGGAACAAATAAAGCAAATGTTCATGACATCTATGAACGTTGACATCTACTAATTATTCATTTGAACTGTCATGACCTGCCTTCCTGCCTTTTGGGGACAGACTTTGTAGAGAATATTGCCATTTCATTATTGTTAAAATAATCCATATTTCTTTACATTGACTTGAATCATTCTTACATCTAAATGAAAGTTTATAGGTAGTTTTTCTCTCTTAAAAAGAAGAGTGGGAGGGGGGACCAGCAGTTAGCGTAATGGCTATGTCGCTGGACTCCCACATAGTGGACCGCGGTTTGCGTCCCGGACCCGGTGGCTTACAACTCACGCCGGGCGCGTGTGCATGTGTGCCCAAGATCCCGAGAGGAGAATGGAGGAGAAGGGATTGTGGTGTGACCATCCCCCCTGGGGGGTGATTTCTCACTTTCTGTCTCTATGTTTCTCTCTGTTTGTCTGGCGAGCGCACGCGCCCTATAGCGAAAAAAACCTCTCCAAAAAAAAAAAACAAGTGTGGGAGGGACCAGCAGATGGTGTAATGGTGACATTGCTGGTCTCTCATGGGTTCAACATCGGTTGGAGTCCCAGACTCAATGGCTTAAAACTCACACAGGGCGCGTGTGCGTGTGAGTGAAATCCCGAGAGGAGAATGGAGGAGAAGGCATGGTGGCATGGCCATCTGCATAGGGGCTGATTTCTCACATTCTCTCTATCTATCTCTTTGATGAGCACATGTGCCCTATAGTTAAAAAACAAAAACAAAACAAAACAACTCTCTCAAAACAAAGTGTGGGACAAGGGAAAACGCATCATCAGGTTTTCCGGTAAGCACTGAGCGCAGCGCTGCCAGGTTCAGGACATCGCCTCCTCCGAGGGGCGGCTCTGCTCCCTGGCCTGCACCTCCTCATCTGTGCAATGCAGGACTGCAGAAAAGCTTCCTCGAGTCACAGCTCCACTAGGAGAGGGGACGCTGGGTAAATTAAAAGACAGGACACTATCGGCCAGCAAACCTTTCAGGGCTTGACGAGGGCGTTGTCTATTAGAGAACTGCTCTATCCCGGCAGCCCCTGGCCGGCCACTCAGGAAACCGCAGCAGGAAGAAGGTGCCCAGGTGAGAGCTACGCCGCATGGCGCCAGAGCCCAACTGCAGGTCCCGATGTGACCAGGCCCTGCGCCGCCCCTCTCTCTTTGCGGAGCGTGGGCTCGTCCTGTGGCCTCTGTGCTCACCTGCATTTGTGGCATCACATTCGTTCACGCATTCATTCACTGGCGTATCGATGACAGTATTCTGAGTTCCCACCTCACAGGGCACCAGGGCTGTAATGACCGCAGGATTCTTGTCCTCTTAGATCTTTCATTCTAGTGAGAATGACAGTCCACACACACACACACACACACGCACGCACACACGCACAGGTTGTGATGAGTACTCTCAAAGAAATCAATGAGAATGAATGTAAAAGAAAAATAAAAGGAAAACAAGGAAGAGCAGGACTAAGAACTGAGTGGCGGCTGAGCTCCCTGAGTGGCAAAACGAGCTCAGAGCTCGAACCCTGACACTCTTTGTCTCTCTGCCACCAGAGAGCTGGGTGGACCGACTTTTCTGAGCCTTTAAAATAGAGGGTTTTTGAATTGCATTTTACTCAAAAGTCTTCTAAGCTTAAATGTCTGAATCTTAACTATACGTTTATGTCTTCCTTCCTAATCTATCCCCATTCCTTGATTTGTCTTTTAATGTCTCTTTTCTTTGATTGTCTATTTTTATTTGGATATAACAAAATAGAAGTGACTGCAAAATACCTCCTTAGTATCCAAAATCTTACCTGTAATCTTAAAACTTGGAGATTTTATATGTATTAGTTAGGATATCTATATATATATATGTATATGTGTATATATATATATATATATATATATATAATATGATGAATACATACATATTTAGATGAATATGTATTCTGGATCTATATATGTATATATTTATTCAAATATCCTGGATTCTTAGAATATACATTTATTTATTTAATTTTAAGCAGACAGATGATTCTAATGAAATGTAGCAGCATTTTCTCCATTTTCCCTACTTTTCTGTAAATTGGGAAACTTAGAGACCTTCTTGGAAGGGGCAGTTTGAGGCCATATTGACAACAGATATGTCGTGATGTGTTTGCGTTCGAACATCAAATCCCCAGTTAGAGAGTGCTCACATTCGATACTATCGGTATTAAGACACCCTCATCTCAGTGCTCAGGGTCTTGTCCACGTGTCACAACCGTGAGTCCTGAGAGCGTGTGGGAAGCTGCTAGGAGGAAGGATCCAGGGGGCACAGAACACAGGCCGGACAGAGACGCCAGGCTGGTATACAGTTTAAAGCAGACGGAAGTAAGAGGTCATTAGAAGACACACGTTTGTTGACAGATATTGGTACACGCTCCCCATATGATCTCATGTATAGTTGATAAACATCTATTTAGTTAGTACGTTAAAAAGATGTTGGAAAGAATTCTGTGGGGAAAAAACAACTTGCTTAAGTGTAGAAACAAAAGTTTGGTGGCGTCTTTTTAGGACTGTAAACACTTATCTAGTGTCGATTCTGTTTTCTCAATCTTGATGACCTTCACTCAGATTACAGATGAAAGACAGGGGAGGGGATTGTGCTTCATGCATTCAGTCTGATTTCACCGACAGCAGAGTGAGGAGCTGTGAAAAGAAGCACTTAACAGATGACTTTAATGTCAAGACTTCTTTGATCGACCACAAAATGAAAACTTACACTAAATATGAAGGGGATGAGGCTGACTGTGTAGGACAATGGTAAGGTGAATCTGGGTCCCATATGTGACCGCAGATGGAATCCCTGGCCCAGGCAGCCCGAGACAAGCCAGGTTCCCGTGTTAGTGCCAGGACCCCACGGGCTGAGAGAGGGTGGAGAGGACTCCTGGTGTGAGCAGGAAATGTTCCCTTCTCTTTCTTTCTTTCAGGCATGTGCTCTTTTGTAAATAAAGAAAAAAATTATATTTATTTAGCACACACACACACATAGGGAGAGAGAGAGGCTGAGGAGAGCACGTAACTAGAAAATACGGACTTATGAATGTTAGTTTCATCTTGTCTACCAAATTGCTATATTGTTTGAGAGAACTTTCTTTTTTACACCAAAAAGACAGGCACTCATAGTATCCTTATTCACTAGCATTCTGTGAGGTTGAAAAAGATGATGTAAATATCTTCTCTGGGAACACAGCACGTATGTAATTATGCACGTAATTAACACCAAAAAACTCTAGTGCCAAAATCTTCAAAATTGGTTCCTATCTGCATTATCTGAATTTCGTTTATGTTTCATATTATATACATACATGTATAGTAACAGTGACATGAAAACATATAACCAGGCTATTTAAGTAAATGCTGAGAATATACTAGGTTAGTATGTACACCTGGCACATCAGATTAGTCTGAAAAGACTAGCGACCTTAGAAGACTTTGCTTCTCTAAGGATAATAGTGGTATTAGCACAGATTATCACGTTTACATATTCTTATTCCACGGAGTAGTGTCACTTATAGAAATAACACTGAATTTGAATTTAAAAGTCCAGTTAGGTATAAATGATCAATTATTAATTATGTTAAGATTATAAAAATATTAGAAGCATTTCATAAAATTATTAAACACAATTATTACTGTTATACTATTAAAACATTTTTAAGAAACTAGGAGTAACTGAAATATCAAAGACACCATTCCTTATTTCTCCCAATAAAACTTGGTATTTGATATAGCACAAATTTTATATTACCTAATCAAATAATTATAAACACATTTATTATGAATATATGCCTATGATGTAATCGCTTTCTATTTCCATGTAAATAGCTGTTTGCATTCTGGACCTTTGCTACGGATCACCAGAATGACTTTTGTCAGATTGAAATATAGTATCCATGTGTTATCAGGTTAATAATTTCTAATTGGAGCTTTGCTGAATTTAAACACTATTTTAAAACCCATAAACCATATTTATACATGAGAAGTGAGCTGCAAGCCCTTGAAATAATTTTCCAGTGTTGGCCTAAAGTTTCGTTTTGCTTGTTTTCACAAAGTCTGAATTTGTCTTGGCATTTGTCTTTTTGATATAAAGCATAGAAGCTAAGAAAGTAATGGATGAGGCTCAATATTGATGTCAAAAGGTGTAATTCATCTTGGCTCTGATGACAGGCGGGTGGCACTGTCTGAAGTTACCGGAGGGCAACACATGCTGCACCGATAGGGCAGGTGTTCTTCTCACCCGCTATAGTTACTTTTGAAATGGTGTTTGTTTTTTTAAATTATCATAGAAGCCAGTCAAATTCCCTCAAAGACTAAACATAAAGTAAATGCCAATATACATACTAGCTGCTTAATCCTATAATAAGAGGATAAAAATCCCCACAGAG